ACATCTAAAAATATACCAACATTTGGCTGTCCGTTAAACACGTCCTGTCGGTATAAAGGATCTTTATTTAATTTATTCGACGATGTTTTCATAATTATTGGAGGGTTTGATTCCGCGTCATTATGCAAAGGGACATCAATCTCTTTCTTAATTATAATGTGCGTTTCTTCATGTTCACTCATCCGATCTTCACTGGTTTCTTTATCCGGTGTTGACTCTGGCGATCCTTTAAACGCAAAGCTTTCGTAGCCGCTACTCTCACCTAGTGATATAAGTGAATTCATGGCCGTAGTCGAGTCTTCTATGCAGCTATCGGATTCTTTTTTATTTAAACAGGTTTCTTCTGCACATTCTGTCATTCCAATGTTTTCGTTCAACAACTCTGCAATATCGGCATCCAATTGTGCTTGTTCATCAAGAGACAATGCAATATCCATATTCAATTCATTTTTAAAATTACGTTCATTACTATTTAAATCTTTTCCTTCCAATAAAGATTGAATATTAAGTAACACATTGTCTAATGATGCATCATTATCATTTTCGCATTTCATTGCATTCTTAATCATTTCCAATGTTCTAGATTCTTCTGCCTTTTTCTGTGATTGATCAGATACAATATTTTCATCTATCAATGTAGTCATGCTAATATTACTATGTTGAGGTAAATTACCATCATACTGGCAAGACCAATTGGAACACGCAATACGGCAAGCTTTAATTTTTTGTCTGGCATCACAGAGATATGCATGATAATTTCCATATAAGCTATCTGATAATCTAGTACCATAATTTATTGATGCTGGTAACGATTTCATGGAATCAGATGTGGTGCATCCATATTTGTCGTATGTAGATAGTACGACGTTAGGTAAAGAATTTGTTTGCGAGTCCATTGGCGTAAATACAGAACAACAACGTGGTGTTAAAGATAAAAATTTTTCTGCCGCTCGTCCAAAAGGATCTACATCTCTTAGTCGACTACGTTGAGAAAGCATTACGTGTGAACACGGATTTAATGCACCCAAACACAGTTCCAACATGATATCTTCGCAATTTAAATTAACTAGAGTTTCAAACAACGCCAGAGTAACTATGCATAACTAAATTAAAAAACAAAATATTAGAAATAAGTTTATATCTAAGAAATATTCTATCAGATTTATAATTACCCTCGAACGAGAAGAAATCCTTTGTATTAGGCAATCTAGTATTCTACAATCTTCATAATTATCTTCTAACAAAAATCTAACGAGCGATCGCAACAAGCCAGGATCAGTTACAGATCGAAGGAACAAATCAAAATAAGCTGTTGCTGTAACCAATTCTTCCACGGTCGTCTGTAATTATTTTCAAAGAATTAAAATAAAAATTTGATATCTTTCAATTTCGACTCTGCAATGTGATAAACTTCTAACTCTCTCATTGATCAGATGACAATAGACATGTTAACATGTTAATCGTCAATATAAGAATTGTATTATTTTTACGTGTAAATTACGTGTAAATATATTTCTCTTCGTTCTCTAACACGGATAATTTTTTTTAATAATCACTGTGCTTGCAATAAAGTTTAGTTAGAATCATTTGATAAAATTTTATATAATAAAATTTTATTAAAAAATGTTTTGTCATAATATCAATAGAATAATATATTAATAATCATGTATATAATTATCATTATATACATCCCCTTATGTGATAGTATATTATAAAAATAAATATAAAATAATACTCATATAAATTTAACATCTTATTTTTAATTAAAAAATGAAAGATAATATATCTCTTGTAAAAATAAAAAACTATTTACATTATTAATATCGAAATATTAATATAAAAATTTAATTATGAAATTTTTATATATAATATAATTGCTCTTTCATGTCTTATTAAATGTACACTCACTTGTAACAATGCTGGACCTATGACAGGAATTAGAAAACCATGATATAAAAATTCAAGTAACTGTTTTTGTACCATCGGATGTGCTACTTGTGTAACTGCATTGCAGAATTCCAGAGAATTCATGAGTTGTGTAAGTGCAGGTAAGTCATTTACATCATCTGGTGTCAACTGATGCCAATCATCTGTTTCAATATTAAGTTTCCTTGGAAGTAAAGAATAAAGACCACTCAATCCTGTAGCTAGTATCTAAGTAAATGTAGACAATATCATTTTTTACTTTTGTGTAGAAATTTTTACAAGCATATTTGATTTCAAAATAACAATATTGCTATTTACAGGACATATATTGGAATGATCAGCAATGTATAATCCAACTTCGTCATTTTTTTTTGAAAGTGACATACACAATAACATAGCGTCATGCGCTTGCTGACCAACACCACCTTCTCGATGAATACGAGGTATTAATAGATTAAATATAATAAATCTGAAATGATTAATAATTTTTAAGAATTATATATTCGTATAAAGTATTATTTATCATAAAAAATAAGATATTACTTATTCTTTCCCGATGCAGTTGAATGAAAGAACAAATCAAGTAACGCCATATTTTGCATTAAGGCAACACATAGCTGATTTAGTAGTACTATTAATTTTTTTTCTATTTCTAATGGCATAATATCATTTGAACATTCTTCTAACAATCGTAGAAGTGGCCTCGTAACTGTTTCATGTGCAAGAAGAGTACCACTATGTGAAACTAATAATTCATAAAGCTTTATTTGTTCCAATCTTACTGCATTATTAAATCTGTAAAAAAAAAGTCTTATGTATAATATATGTATAATATAATAACTTGTATATACAGAAGAATAGATATACATATGAATATAGATTCGTCTAATGAAATAAATATATTCAAATATGTTTAAAAAATAAAATCTTTGGTAAATATTAAATTAATAAGAATAGGTTTCATTTTGAAAGAGAGTACTTAGTGTAACTTTTTGGTTTTGGAATTGCTTCACTCAGAATTTTATATATAAAAAAGTAGTCAAATTATATAATGAGTTATTAATGGAAGATATGATTATCTTTTTTGTATCTATACCAATATGATTAACAAACAAATAAAAAACATAGATAACTCGGAAATCGATAAAAATTAATTGAAAAGGATGGGATGAAAAATGAGATCTGGCTTAAAATTGTGCTTTGCCACACAAATCGGAACGAACTTAATACAATTAAACACAATTAAATAAAATATAAAATTTAAAAAGTTTGAAACTAATTTCACATAAATACATATATAAAATATTATACATTATAAAAATAAATATATATTTTATATAAGATATAAGTATATACAGTTATTAGCAGAGATATACCTTCCTGTATGTATACTCCAATCGTACAATTTAACAAGTAAATTTTCGCTTAATAAATATTCTAAACACGGAGAATGCGTTGCAGTGTTACCCTGTTGATAGTGATTATGCGAATTCGAATCCCGTAGCTCTAGTATCAATAATGTCACCATTTGATCAATGTGATTAACAACTCCAAGTACATCATCTTGACTAGGTACCCCTTTAGGAGGCTGAAAAATACAAATTGATAATCTTTAAAGAATACCAGATATATAAGATATAAAGAAATTAAAAGTAATTCTCACACTAACATAGGATCTGTTACAACTATCCGAAACTGATTTGATTCTCTTTGAAATACGTTGTTAATCACAACAATCTAAGAGACGCTTTATTTATATAGACTTTTTATACAGGTTAATCTCAGATTTAAGGGGATAAAACAATCCTTCAAAATTAATAGAGATAGTATTTTTAAAATAAATATCTCATTTTAAGTTCAAAAATTTTGAGAGATTTCAAGTATAGACCTATTATAGGAGTTTTTCCTCCCTCGCCTCCCCCCTCGCCCCTCCCACTCGACCCGAGATGCAAACGTGACCATAGGGCATGCGCAATTCATTACACTATACTGATATGACAGGTTTCGTAACCTCAATAATAGTGAACTTTTAAATTAATATCTCGCTTCACGAGACAGACATTTTTTTCTACCAGATTCTTTCGTTTCATGCAAAAACGCGTTGAATAGACCCAATTTCATGAAAATTCAAGCGAACGAGGGCAACAAATACCCATTTATATATTGTATATTTTTTCATAAATCTGTAATTAAAGAGAAAGATGTAAATTTCAAAATAGTAAAATTTAGAAAGTTCTAAAAATAGTTATTCTTACTAAAGAATGCAGAATGATTTCGTATATCTGTTGTGAATGTTTGCAAAAGCTGTCATAACATGCAGATGGATCAGCATCCTTTGGTGGCGAGTCCCTGGATCGCTGTTTGCTGAAGCTCGTTCGCAATGGATTGGTTCGTAGCCAACTCATTGTTTTTTTTTTACAATATCTTCCACAATAATGCAGCCAACAAGTCTAAATTATCACATTCGTAGTCTCACTATTTTGCGTTTTGGACAAAGTACGCTGAGACTGACTCAGATGTAATCAGTCTGTTGTCATCAAGAGTTTTAATGTACTAGTCACATATTAGAACGTCGCAATAAAAAACAGTGCGATAACGCGAATCACATATTTATTAGACAATCCACGATTCACTGATACATGCCAGCATGTATCAAGTAATAGATACCATCAGAGATCAAGGCGATCAGATTGTCTGACATCAGTGTCGCCAATCTGAAATCTTGTATGTTGAAGTCGCTCAATGGCTTAGTTTACATCATGCACTTAATATACACGGGTAACTACTAGTTACTTTCTATTGAATGATCTTAATTTCAGCGATACGTTAAAATATACATGATATATGTATTTAATTAATCATTATGATATATACTTGAATGATACTGTATCAATTTAGTACATCAGTCTCTAAATACATTGCTGAAATTAAAATAATTTAATAGAAAGTTTCTAGTTAGTACTAGAGTGTATCAAGTGTACGATGTAAACTAGGTCATTAGTTTTTTTTCTACTTGCACTTTCGTGTTCATACTCGATCTGTTTATTATTTATCTACATGATTCTTGGAATTATTTTTTGTGATTGTAACAAAATTGTTAAGGCGGCAAATTCAACTTAACAATGAAAAATAATAGTTTAGTAACTATAAGCTATTATGAAAGTTATTTTTATTTTCTTGTATGGTTGTGTGCCATCATTTATTCTGTATATCAATTTTATTTGGCAAACAATTGTAAGAAATATATATCGAAAAAGCGAACTGTTAAACTGTTATAATAACGATTTTAATCATATATGATTTATTTTCAGATTTCAGTGATTATAATGATATATACAGTGATTTTGATTCAGGATGGTCTTGGATTGGAAAGAAACGAGACACTTCCGATCAAGAGTGGCTTGTATGGCTTACATTAGTAAATAGACTGATACCATGTGTTTTTATACATCATTTTGTCAGTCAAATTATTAAAGTCAATCATAATAGTATGGTATATATATATATATAATAGTTGTACAAAGTATGATGCAGAAAAAATTATGAATATCAGAAGAAAATAACATAGAAATTTTTCAGACATGCTATTGGTATATTTTATCATCTATAATTTTTCTTTATTATTATTTGGGTATGTTGGGTATGTTATGTACAATATTCCAACCTACTTTTTTACATATAATGACGTGTATATGCAGTAAGAATACAGCATGGACTATACATGTTTTGTATATGTTTGTAATACACATATTAAAAATTCCGAATGGTCCTTTTCAAAGTTGGTTAGGAATTACTGATGAGAAGCATTATATTTTAACACTTGTGATGTGTTGGATACATTTAAGAAGTATCAGTCACAATATGGATAGTATTGATGACCAATTTTCCAGCTCAAATAGCTTTATTCAAAAATTGGCATATTGCTTATACCTGCCTACATTATTTTTAGGACCACTCATTTTGTATCATGAATTTGTGGAATCTGTATGTTTAAATATTTATATTACATGCTAAAGAGTCATAAAGTTCAATAAAGTATGAATATTTTATTTTTTCAGATTAATCAACCACATCAGTATTGGAATTGTGAAAAGTTTTTAACATTTATGTTAAATTTAATTAGATATATGTTCTGGTGTTTTTTTACTGAATTGTTGTTACATTTTATTTATGTAAATGCTATACAATATCATTTACAGGTAATAATTCTTTTTATACATAAGGTATGCATACATATTACAAGTATACATAAGAATATATTTTGTTTTATATAGGTTTTACAAAATTTGAATTCTTGGGAACTATTTGGTTTAGGATATTGCATGGGACAATTTTTTTTCAATAAATATGTTGTAATATATGGAACGTGCAGTAATTTATGTTATTTGGATGATATAAAAGCACCATCACAACCTAAATGCATAGCTAGAATACATTTATATTCCGACATGTGGAAACATTTTGATAGAGGATTATACAAATTTCTAATAAGGTAAATTTGATTGAATTTATCTACTACACATATATTTTATTCTGTTACATCAACAATATTATGTATATTGTATATATTGTATTATAATATAGACTTATATTTCTTTTAATATTTTAATATTATATTTACAGATATATCTATGTTCCTATACGAAAATCAAATAGATGTTTTGGAAAACTATTTGCATCATTTTTATGTTTCACGTTTGTCTTTATGTGGCATGGGATACAAATGAATATCTTTATTTGGGCACTGCTCAATTTTATAGGAATAGTAATTGAAGATATAGGAACATCAATTGGCAAAAGTAAACAATATTATAAAATGCAGAACACATATTTATCTTCAAGAAATACCAAGAGACTTCATTGCATACTGGCAAGTCCTCTTTTAGCAATGTCAGCGATATCTAATTTTTACTTTTTGGGTGGACAAGATATTGGAAATATCTTTACACAGAAAATAATACATGGCAAGTTCATTATACTTATTTTAGTATTCTATTTTTTATATTCCACATTTTGTTTACTATGTATAGAGAGATTATATATCTGTTATCTTATTTTTTATAAATATTGCGTACTAATATTTATTATTAAAATATATACATATTATTTTTTACTAAAAATTTCAATATTTTCAAATCTAAAGTATAATTCTTGTATTATAAATAAGTCAAGATTAAGATGAAAATTTTTGTCTATAGGAACCTGGAAAAGTCTGTTTATTCTACTTTTCCTTCTTTACTGCTGCTGTCAAGTTTCTGTAGATATTAAAAGATGGGAATTACGTCATATTAAAAGATAATAAAATATTTTTTTACATCTACAATGTGATATAAGATCATTAGCTTTATGTTACATACATAATTCTCAATTCATTTAAAACAATTAAAAATAATTAAAAATAATTAAAAGGATAACTTTTGCATTGTTTATTTTATAAAATATCAAGTTTGGAGAAATGTAAAATAATTGCTCATATATAATTATATATGTTTATAAATACTTATAATGTTTATGTGTATTTATATACAATATATTTATATATATTCATGTATGAAAAATTTTTTACTGAAATGCCATGTTTGATACTAGTAATATTTTTCAATTATAGTTTAACTTTTTAAATGGCCAAAATTGATGGTTCAATTTAAACTTAATTTGAGCAAAAACTTGATAGAATCCGATATCTTATGCTAAACTTTGATTAATCAAATGTCACTAGAGATTAATTTTTTGTTAACTGCTTTGATAGAAACGGGCCTTAGACCCTTTTGCTAAGCTAGATATTGGCAGAGAGTAACTTGAGAGTGGACATTCCGCGGTCTTTTTCATATATCAAATCTCGTAGGATAATATTCACGTTTTTATAATTTTCTCTTATGCTATTGCGCGAATTAGCCAAGAATTAAATAAAATTGATTATTCATCCTCTAACCCATGTAATAACATAGAGGGAATCACAAAAACGTGGACAATATCCTACGAGATTTGACAAAAAAAGGCCGGAATGTCCATTTTCCTCTCTGATATTGAAAAGCATTGGACGATTCGAGCGCCTTAGATTGACACTAGTGTTGGACAATCTGATCGTAATCGTAGCAGCCATCTCAGGTTTCTTTCTGTCTGTGGTCTGATACGAACATTAGTGAAAATTATATCTACTCGTTTTAGTTGCATATTTTATATTTATTTCTTCTCTCTTTCCTCGTTCAAAGATACAAATTTATTTTATTTAAAGATAGAAAATGCAAGAAAGTATAATAAATATGAATACATCTACTATCAAACGGTAAAATATTTTGTTATAAGAGAATTATTACTGTTTCACATTAGTAAATGAGACAATAATTAGAGAATAAGTATAGAAATAAATAAAGAAGGTATTTATAAGTAAAATAAAATTTATGAGTTATGAATGTAAAGTAACTAATATAGAGTTTTGTCATTAATGTAGAGTTGACAGTGTGGTTATTAAAATATAGCTACTAATGATCAAATATAAAATAAATATGCATTTAATTACATAAGGTGACAAAGCAAATTTTGATTGTTTTTTGTTCTCCGTCTAGGCTACGTTTTATGACTGTATTATTTGATACATAATCTTATGGTTATTTACATACAACTTGTTTGATGAAATCCAAATAAATTAATATAATAAGTAAGTATCGACAAAATTCTCTACATGCGATTAAGTAAAATAGAATTTAAATTGATTACTTTTTATTTTAATATTTAATTAAAGCTTTCCAGCACAAGACAGTGTAACACAGTGATCGTTTCATCTTTGTTTAACATTGGTAAACAAAAATATGATTCATTCAGTGTTACTACACTGTGTCATTTGTGTTTCTTGCTAGTTAGCACCCTAAATATACTTATTCTAATTATCTATATAAAAATTATAATTTTGTATTATTTCTTTAACATTAATTAGATAAATGATGACATATGTAGTATTGAATTATTAAGCACTTAAGATTCAGCTTCGACCGTTAATGGCTTTTATTTCCTGGTTGTATACACGGTTCAATAATTAAGTTTCTTTCTTTAATAAGATTGAATTTATAGAAAATTACTTTACTTGATAATTGTAAAATCTTAGACATTATCTCTTAGACATTATATAATTTTTGCTACAAGATATTATAATTCTATGTTTTTTGATATCATTAGTTACTAATACTATGTGTATGCTTTTCGCTATTATTTTGATTAACGGAATAACAAGATACCAATTATTTGTGTTATCTTTAGAAATCAAGCTATTATAAGTGAGATTAAAAAATCAAATAAAAAAATTGATCAAAATTTTTAATGTAAAATATTATTTTGAAACGAGGAATCAGTTACTTCTTTTCTTCAAATGTTTAAAATTATGATATTTTCAGTAAGTACTATAAGTATATTATAAGTATAAGATCCAATAATTATTCTCTTTTTTATACACTATCAAAATATGAAATATAATATTCTATATACAAATATGTAATCTACAGATTGGTCTATTTTTATTCTACATCTAGTAGAACATTTCAAAATCCTTAGTTAAATACAAAAACATTTCTGACAAAAGTTGCTCAGTTACAAGAGGGAAAGAAGATCGTGATTTTAATTGATCTTGAGAAGATATTTTTAACCCTTTGCGTCATGACAGGAGTCTCATCTTTTTGCGCTCAGTTTTTAATTATTTTGAAGAATTTATTGATGTTAAGTACAGGTTTTTTTTGTTTTCATAGGTTTATAGAACATAAATAAGTGTTAAAAAAAGTAGGCAACCATAAATTTTTATTTGCATAATTACTCTAAACATATCATCTATCTATAAACATATAATCAAAATTTGTGCTTTTTTGAAAAAAAAAATGTATTTTTTTATCGAATTATTATCAATATCAAAACGGCAATTTAAGCTCATTTAAGATGTTTTAAAATATTTTTCAGAATTTTTTCAGATTTTTTCAGATTTTTTCGTTACGTTGTTTTTTATTATAAATTGATAATCAATTTCAAAAAATATGAAAAATCGTTTTTTTCTACTATTAATCCAAATAAATAGTTTAAATATCTTACAATTCTAAGAGTTCTTTTGGATCACCGAATTCTAATCTAAAATCAAAATTTTCAAATTTTAAAATCCAAAATGACGGTACTAATGTGATGAACCAAAAACGAAAAAATAATCTTATCTTAAAATTTAGTTTCTGGGTATATTGGTCGCTACATCTAAATCTGAGGTCAAGATTTTCGAATACCTACTAGACTTCTATAAATAAACTGCCGACTTCGTCTCCATGTTTGAAGACAGCCTTGGACAGCCCCATATTTGTGTTCATTTACTCTCGCATGTATAAATCACTCGACTAACATTAATGTTTCTGTTTTCACATAAATTCACACGATACTCACACAGACAGGATGCATGTATTCGCATATGTGAACTGAAACAAGAACAACTCGGAATCAGGTTCATCTCTTTCTGTCATATTCAGTCAGTGTAGTCATAGAAGTCTGTGCGAATGGCAGAATCAAAATGACAGACGAATTTTTATATGTTATTGTTTTAAATCTTAATTTTATCTTTTATTTTATAGCTTTAGTTATTGTTGTAATGACACTTTTACTTAACATTAATAGAATAAGAAGATTTGTACAAGAACATTTTACAATCTCAAAATTGCATCCTGTGATCTAAAATGCTATTTTTTCATTTTCTATTATTGCATATTATATATCTAAATGTACTTATTTTCATACGTTATATTTCTTACAGATATGTCAGAGCATGTGGAATTGCAGCATCTAGTGGATGCTGATGTGGAAAATAACACAACAAATCATAAAAGAAAGTTTTTTACTTTGTTGTGTAAATCATGTCCTTATATGGGTCTAGTATTAGCAACTCTGTCCTCTCTGTTCTTCTCACTATGTAGTGTAATTGTTAAGAGTTTAGTAGAGATAAATCCAACAGAAATGGCAATCTTCAGATTCTTTGGGGTATTGTTACCAGCTATACCAATTGTGATTTATAAAGGTGAACATCCTTTTCCAAAAGGCCATAGACTGATACTTATTCTGAGGAGTTTTATTGGTACAACAGGACTTATGTTAAGTTTCTATGCATTTAGACATATGCCGTTGGCTGATGCCTCAGTTATTGTATTTTCTGTTCCTGTATTTGTAGCAATATTTGCACGAGTATTTTTAAAAGAACCTTGTGGATTATTTAACGTTGTTACTGTATGTTTAACATTGATTGGTGTGATATTGATAACACGACCGTCATTAATTTTTAGTCATACCGTAGAATCTCTCTCAGATGGTCAAGTTAAGTCAGAACATGCAGATTTATGGGGTGCTATGGCTGCTTTCTCAGCTACTTTATTTGGTGCAAACGCATATGTTCTACTACGTGCGTTAAAAGGTCTTCATTTCTCTGTTATAATGACAAATTTTGGTTCATTTGCTTTGATTCAAACTACGCTCATATCATGGGCAATTGGTGCGTTATGTATGCCACATTGTGGGACTGATAGAGTTTTAGTTGTTGCACTCGCACTGTTTAGTTTTGCAGGTCAAATCTTGTTAACTTTAGCTCTTCAGATCGAACAAGCTGGTCCAGTGGCCATAGCAAGATCTACAGATATTGTTTTTGCGTTTTTTTGGCAAGTATTATTTTTTAATGAAATACCAAATAGATATTCTGTAGGCGGGGCTATATTAGTCACTAGCTCAGTTTTGTTAACAGGCTTAAGAAAATGGGCTCTTTCTTTACCGGAAACGTCAAATATAAAAAAATCTCTTGGAATCTTAATGATATAAATAATGACTTTTTTATTTAGAAAAGAAAGGAACTAAACTACAAACTAGACTACAAAAAGGAATGCCCAAAAAGCAATTATATATGAAAAATAATATTACGAGTGATAGCAATTTAAATATTTGCTTTAAAATGTGTGAATTTATATGTAACGCATTTTAGATCTATTAGTTCTGTTATTAGCAAATTCCAATGATTATTTGAAAATTTTAATATTAAAATCAAGGCTGTAATTATTTTAAATAAAAAACGTTTGAATTTAGTCAATTAAGTGACAACACCTTACGCGTTCAAACATCACACAATAGTTGCTCTAAGATATTAATTCATTTTTTAATATTAACGTAGTTTTACATACGTAATGAATAATAAATTAAAAATACTTTATCTTAATATTTTATTTATTCATTTCGAGAGATATCTATTTGTTATATTTAATTTTATTAAAGTTAAAAAAATTGATTTTTTCAAATCATGATTAAAATTCAAAAAGTTTGTTTTAAAAAATTTATAAAAATATTGCCAGATAGAAGGAATAAAAAAAAGATAATTTGAAGTATATATTAACTCAATGAAAAAAAGTATCAATAAATTGTAAAATGCCTATACAACCCTCCGCAGGTCCCTCTTGGCGTATAAAGAAATCAAACCGATAATTGAACTTCTTGAAATATCCAATATATTAAATAAAAAATGTATGGACATTTCGATTTTTGGCATATTTTCTTTGACATTGAAAGAGGATCCAAACTGTAGAAGCTTGCATATGCATTTTATATTTGATTGAATTGAAAAAACAATCATAAAATGATATTAATTAATTGATAATTCTGTAATTGCTTTCTCATTTTTAATAATAGTCCAAATATTATGGAATACTGACATTAGAATATGTGATACATGTACGCCAAAGTTTTAATTAATGTCATACATATATATCAATATTCACTTTTATTATCGTGTCATGTTTACTATTGTTGCTATATTTGAATATTTAAATTTTTGGGAATGTAATTGGTCAATTTTAATTTAAAAATTGGTATAGAGAAAGTTTTTACATTGTAGTGTTAGGCCAGATGACCTCTTCTTCAATCTATCTAACAGATGATGCAGTAGATTCGGGATATCTTTCAGATAGCAACGTGTCTGTATTGCTTTTAGAATTGCAGCAATTAAGTCCATATTTGTTTTGCTCAAATTGATTTGCGCGATTTTGCTTAGATACAATTAATTCGGGGTTATACTTAACTAGATATTACTTTTTTCATTTTCTAATTTTAGTGTGTGCGCGCATACTTGTGTGTATAGAAGAGTATGAGAAAGAGTGAGAGTGAATGTATACGTGTGTATAAAACAGCGATAAGAGTAGATATATATGTATGCGCGTGCTATTACTATTCACTATTTTATATGTTCCACATGGAATATTGTAGAATATTATTTATTATATACAAATTCAACTGCTTATAATATATTTAATCATTTATTATATACAAGTTTGTATATAATAAAATGTATCATACGCATTATCTTTTTAAAGTCACAACATTGGTATAACTAAATTTTCCTATTTTTAATACTTTTTTTACATTTAACATTTTAAATCCCTCTTTAAAATTTTATCTTTATCTTTTGTGATTTAAAGTGCTTTATGCAATCTTTCGTAAAGTAAGAAAGTGAATAAAAAAAGAATACTATGAATATTTTAATCTTATTAATTGACGCATGATATTTTTATTTTGCATATGCTAATATAACAAAAACAGAGATTGGCGGAAAGAATTAAAAATAGAATATTTGCTTGATCCCGATGTATATTAAAAACAGGAAGGTTTGAATGCACAGATTCTAATAATATCTATTAAACAGATTCAAGTGCGCATACACAATGTTGTATTTTTATAACAGGAAAGATTAAATTTTTGACTGGTATATTATTTAATCTCTTGTAATTTTAAATGAAAATAGTCATTATAGAATTTTATATTTATAAGTTGAGAATAGAAAAAATGTCAAATTATATATTACTTTTTTCTGTGATTTATATGTATAGGAACATTTTTATTAAATATGAATGATTAGTATGTAAAGAATGTAATATATTATATAAATAATCGAAATTATTTTGTTTCAAAACAGTTAACTATTTATTACAAATACAATTTTTACTTTTTAAGATGCAAAAGATTAAAACGAATAAAATAGAAAAAAGAATTTCTCATCATCGTAGTACAGATTTGCTTAATGAATCTACAACAAAAATGTAATAATTTGTTTTTCTTCTCTTACTGCTATATAATAATATTCTATTCGTAATAGTTTTGTAAAAATAATAAAAATTACATTATTTATTTATATCATAGTATTTAAATGTGAAAATTATACACATTGTATTCGCTTCGTAATATTAAACAAATTTACATTATAATAATACACATAATGTAATTTCTTCCATAGCAAAAAAAATCACAATAATATGACAACAATCATGATTCATGCGCGCGAATTCACTTTGTTACAGATGTAATATCACAACAAAGTTAAGATGGCGTGAGAATGTCCGTTTTGTTACAATATCGTTATGATATTATACAGCTGTGATAAAAATTGCGCTTTAAAACTATGACACTATTATGACATATACAGATCAAGATAATAACACCAATAAATTATAATGTCACTGTAACAGTGACATCACAATTTATCCGTGACTATTAAATTTATTATATGAATGTGACATTTTTTGCTATGGGGGTTTTATGTAAAACTTAAAGAGGAGTGATTATACGAGAGGTCTTTTTTGTATTAATATATATTACATCCTATTTGATTATACGAATTTTAAAAATTCCATTCCTGTAATTATTAGATTATAAAGAAAAATGAAGAAGCATTAATTATAAATGGACTAAGAGAAAGTTACATATGAAGATTGCGATAGTGATTATCAATCGATTTCAAGACGAGCATAGTGATATATTTAAAATTTTAAGAGTCAGTAGAAATAATGGCTAATTTATCTACCTTATTCGCTGTATAGACGTATCTGATGTATTATCATATTTTATTTCGTAGAGGAAACACATCTTGTCATGAGAGCCTTTTAATTTCTTTTTTTAAAAAGATTTCTATAGAGTCAGATTTTTTTCTTAAATAATTTAGTATTTTTTAAAAATTACTTTAAATCAGATCTCTTATGGAAAAAAAACTCAAAATTTTAGTATTTACGCGCTTAAAAAAAAACATAAGATATAAATTTAATAGATATCACCTAATCGTTATAATTCATAATAACTTGACGCTATAATTAGATAATTAAAACAATGGCTCCTGCACACAGTAGAGTCCCTATACTAGAATCTGATCACTCATCATATTTGCATCTATTGGTTGAACAAATTAAAAATAACAGCGGAATCAATTAGGATTTCCGTCGTTATGCACAATGGATTATCTTGAATTTATCAATTGCCAATCACTAATTGACTAATTTAAAATAAAATCTCATTGGTGAAGCAGTGAAAAATTATTACGAACAGATGTGAATGTTGAGTAATTGAATTGTGTGCGCCGCTCCCGGTCACCTTATTTAATTCCATCATGATAGCGAGAGATTTGTTATTCCAATTTCTTATTTTATCATTACATGAAATCGTATCTTTATGTGTGCAATGGAACGTAGCTATTGGGAGCGTTCAAATCATCCAAGTTTCTTTTAGATCCCATGAAAAGAATAAAAGCGATAAAAATGAATATTTTTTTATTCTTATTTTTTAAAATCATTTTTATAATTTTTTATTTGACATGTTATTTATGTTTCGATGTTACCAGTCATTATGTTATTTCAAAATTACCGCGAAGCAAATGTTTTGGACGCATTTTGTCTGCGCAGAACGAAAATTCGTTTCGAGAACTAGCACATCTTCTTTCCTTCCATCATGATAGATTCAACCAATCATATTCAATTACTCAGCGAGTAGGCAAGCAATTTTGTCCACCTTGAACGCGCTGATTTTCTAAGTGCGATCTATTTTACGTTGCAAATGCTTTGAAGCACTTTTTTATTGGTCAATTCATACAAATCTTTCTTCACATTGGTCAACGAAACATTTGCAGTGTTAGGTAAATCGCATCCTCTGTTCGTGTTCTCTATTTCTTTGAATGTGTACCAGTGCGCAGCTCCTCATTTTGCTCTTCCCTCTCCTTCCCTTTTACCGGATTCCTTCCGCCATATTACTCTCTTTCTCTTTTCTGTCATTTGCTAATATCCTGTTTGGGAAATCATGCGTCTCGTATTCACATAGCGGTCGTAGCGCGTTGTACTTATTGATCATAGTCATTCGATTGCATGGGGAAACAGATTTTTCGTTATTTGTTTATTTGTACTGATTCCTGTGTTATTACGTTGTAAACAAGAAAAGATACGACATTATTGCGTGAGAAGGTCGAACCCTCCCTCCTGACAAAAAGTGAGTGATATGGTTTTCAACTTGACATATGTGGTTAATGTGGAAAAGGAAGGAGAGAGAAAAGATAAGGTTGATAAGATATAAATATTTAATATTATCGAAAAATATGAAAGTAAAAAGAGGAGGAAATGTGATGAACGAAATGTAGAGAGGTTATATTGATGAGAAATGAAGAATTGTATGATGTGTAACTGTAGGAATGGTTGATAAATGGAATGGCGTAGATAATATAAATATATATATGTATATATATATATATATATATATATATATATTTATAGTGTAAGAGAGAGAGAGAGAGAGAAAAAACTTTCGCGATAAAATATTTAAAATTGCTGAAATACAAAATTTAGCGAATGGATTAAATAATAGCAGAAGTTATATGTTCGTTATATGTAAATTAAGAATTAGATGATACATATTAATGCAAGTATTGAAAAATATAAGTATGACGTAATGTTAGAGCAGAGAGAGAGGAAGAGAGAGAGGGAATGTGTGAGTGTGATAAGTGACTATTATTATGAACATATACCTGTTTATTACAAAACTGAAAGTGCAAAATTGTTGGAATAAGTAATAGGTAAATAAAAGAATAGGAAACAGATTAAGTTAAGGAATGAGTTATGATTAGATGAAAAAAAAATACATAAATTTGGGCGGGTTTGAGAGTATATAATGAGGTTATAAGATGAAAGAGAGAGAAATAATATAAAAAAAATAAAGTGATTTGTTATTTCAAGTGAGTTTTACCATAAAAAAGAGGAGATAAACATTTAGAATGATATATTAAAAAGATACAAAAGGATGACGTGGTTGTTTCGATAAAAAAATTAAATCGTATAATTGCACATAAATATGTATAATAAGCTAATAACCTTACAAATGGAATGACGTGGTAGAGTCATAAGATACAGAAGAAAGGGAGGGGATTTGTTTTTTCCTTTAATAAACTTGTGTAAGATAAGTAAGAAAGATACAATAATTTTTTTTAATTTATTAATTTTTTAAGAATATTTAAATTAAATTTAATATTAAATATTGAAAAAGATAAAATAGTCATTTATCAACAATTATTTATTTTGTGCATTAATTAAATGACAAAATTGATAATGCATTAATAATTGTATTATCAATTTGATCAATAATTATTAAGTTGATTCATTATTGTTATATTTTTGTCAGTTGATTCATATCATTCTGTGCATAAAGGTTTTGGTATTTTTATCAAAAAAATTAATCATATATGAGATATTTAAAAAATCTTATAGTATAATCTTGCAAATATGTTCAGTAATTTTCATCAAACCTATGTCTTATAACAATAATTTGTATAATAAGTTAACCATATTTATAATTATAACAACACAGATAAAAAAATATGTTTGCACAAATATGATATTAATATTTGTAAATTATGAATTCTTAGTTGTAACTGCGAGCTATATATATTCTAAACATAATATAATTAAATATGCAAAATGTTTTAAAGTTGTATAGTATTAATGCATTGAAAAATTATTTTATTGTTTATGTTAAAATATAAAAATATTTATTAAATTTTAAATATATACATATTTAAAGGATGAGCAGGACAAGGGAACAAGCTGGTTCGTCTAAGTCATCAGGATCTGCAGGTTCTACTGAGGAAAAAGAAAAGGATGAAAGGATTTTTGAGTGCAATATCTGTTTGGATACCGCAAAAGATGCAGTAGTCAGTATGTGCGGTCATCTGTTTTGGTATTTATTTTATTAATAATTTATTAATTTATTAATAATATAACATGTCAAAAATTGCATTATTCTCTATGATTTAAATAATATCTCTCTATGATTTAAATAATATAAATGGTAATATTATAGTTGGCCATGTCTGCATCAATGGTTAGAGACCAGACCTACCAGGCAGGTTTGTCCAGTATGCAAAGCTGCAATAAGCAAAGATAAAGTCATTCCATTATATGGACGTGGTGCGGCAAAACATGAAGACCCAAGGTATAACTTGTTTCTTGTTTGTCAAAATTGAATATTATAAATATTATATTAAATAATATAAGTTTAATAAAAAAAAATATGATTTATACTTCAGGAATAACGTACCTCCACGCCCGGCCGGTCAAAGGTCAGAACCAGAAGCCCATGTCGGTTTTCCCGGCTTTGGTTTTGGTGATGGTTCCTATATGTCGTTCGGCATTGGCACTTTTCCGTTTGCTTTTTTTACATCGACTTTTAACTTTGGAGAAACACGACCAAGTGCAGGTAACTTATCATAAATTTAAGAGGAAAGATATTGAAAAGTAATTGCGAACTTATAAGGCAAAACTATTTATCTTCATGTGCTTTTTTTCATATAATTGGTTAATTTTAATCAGTGCTGTTTTAAAAGAATTTATTATATACTGTCCGACAAAATTTCTTTTTTTGCAATATGAATGTGAATAATTATTTTCGATATCTTTGCCTACCGAATGCGAAGTTGACAAAATTTGGTTATGCATGCTACAATTGTGAGAAAAATGATTTTAATGATACTAAAATAATTTTATAGATTTTTATATTGTAGCCGGTATTAAATTTTTTTCTACAAATTTCATTAATGAAAGTATTATCTTTTAGTTTTAAAATATATTTTGATTCATTTCAGTATAATTTTTTGTTTTTGAGTTTATACATGTAGATACATATATCCAGCTCTTTGAATTTATCCTTGAAATCATCCTAAAATTTAATGTATCCTGAAAAACTTCTGAAAAATCTCTGCAATTTCAGGACTGACTTAAAATTTCACTTCCAAAAAAATCAGATTATAAAAAAAGAAATAAATATTTCCCGCGTGTGTACAAGAATTATATCGGTAACGATGAGTTTTGTGATAATTTTAGATGAAGCTTTAAAAATAAGTGTGCGAACATTAGATTAATAATTTAATAAATCGTCAATAAATTAATTTTATAAGAATGTGATATGTTAATAAAAAGAAAAGTTATGTTTGGATACAAGCTTTCCCTTAAAAATGTATTAAAGCATTTATTAATAGAAAATTTGGATTTATTATAAGATCTAAATTATAAAAAGATAGAAAAGATAGAAAAGCGAAGAAATTATCGTTGATGTTGAATGTTTAATATTATTTATAAAACATTAAATAATATTCTAAATTTATTTGTATTTTAATTTGTCATATAGATTTCTAACTTGTATGCAAAACATATAAAATAAATATGTTTCATGTACCTATATCCGGACATTTACATAAAACTTTATATTATTATTAATCTCGAAGCTTTTTAAAATAATCTTTAAATTTACACAATGAAGTTACAATATTATAATAAAAAATATTTAACATTAATAATAATAAATATTGTGTCCGGACACAGGTACATGTCCGATCGCTGGGACATGAGAAAACTTTCTGATCGGTTCAAATACAATTCGAATGTTCATCATAGGATAAATGACGAAAAACGGAAGTATTCCAAACGGAATTGTTTTCGGATAGATTCATGATAGGTGCTCTGATTTGATTCAATTTATATTCAAATAATTTGCACATTTCTATTCTAACTATACAATTTAAATTTTTATTATTTATATTTTCAGTACTCTTTTTCTGATCTTATTCTGATGTTCACCAAAAAGAGCATCATACTAAAAATACAATATATTAGATTAAGAACATTTAGCTATTCAATTTTTTAAAAATTAAATTAGTTTGATTCATACATTTTTAATAATTAGTATTTTTATTTGATTCTGTGATTGCCAATTTTAGCTATTCAGATTGCAAGAGAATTATGAATTCAGTATCTCCTTTTAACATTTTAACATGTTCACAAATCGTTCTATACAGTTCAAAATGTGTAGAAATTAATCTACTTAAAAATATTTTTATCTACTTAAAAATATTTTTATCTACTTAAAAAATATTTTTTATTAATTTGGTCATTTTGCAAGTACATTTTCCCGCTTAACGTTGATTAAAACTAAATCAGTACTAAATAGATCTAAGATATAAATTAATATATTAGGTGTTGGAATTAATTCGTAGCGTTTTACAAGTGATGGGAAGTACTTTCATTAATGTATTTTTTAATGCTCATGTGAAATAAATAACATTCTTTCATTAAAAACGCTACGAATTAATTCCAACACCTAATAGATATTTATAGGTTTGGAAAAATTTATTTTATAAAAGTAAAACCTGTTATCGTTCGTTTTCTAAAAATTACTTTTTATTGTCTATTAACTTATATTATTAACTATTAATTATTGTTATCGTTACTGGTACTCAAAAACTAACGATTATTACAACTTCTATTATCTCTTTACCAAATTTTAATGATCTCTTTTTTTACAGTGATATATCTAATTATTGTCTGTGTTAATTGGTCGGAATAAAAACATTTACACTCTATTCAATGACAAATTTCTTATCTCGCATAAGAGGCGACACATAACGAGGATTATTTCACCCGTTCAATCTTCTAAGTCTGAGCATGCCATATTTACGTATAAACATCCACTTTGCTTGCTAAGTTGCCTCCTATGTGCGAAGAATAAACTTTCTTGTTGGACAGAGTAAATAATAGTTATAGTTAATCATAATATAATAAAAAACGCTTATACATATTCCATACATATACACTCACTCCTAAAAAAGCAGTACACTAAAAATTAGGGAAAAATTTACCAAATTTTTAATGATTATAACTTGATAAATAATGAAGATAAAATGTTTAAAAATGCAAAACGAAGCTTTAAATATATTTTAAGAATATTTGAATGGCATAATTGTGCTCGACTATTTAATATTTTAAAATGATGGATGACAAAAGAAAAAAGCGCAAAATTGATAATCAAAGGTCTGGGGTTTTTTTTGCGACAGTGTATGACGTTGAATCAGATATCCCAGCCTAATAGAACAAAATGCACATGAACGTATAGAACTTTAAAATGTTTTTTATCGAACTCGATGCGATTAATTTTTGCTGATTTATTTCAAATTTATGATACCGCTATCATTAGCTAAAATTATGATTGTAACTCTTCCTTATATGAACTGTATGGAATTTGATCAGAATTGAACACGATTACATGCGTGAATGTGCACGCGCGTGGGCGTACATGTATTATAGGTATACAAATTAATTCTCGGCCTTTTTTGACCAACTTTGACATTTATTTATAAAAACATGAATACAAACTCAATCTTCTAAGTAATCTCCCTCACTGTTTATACATTTTTTCCATCTCTCAGGCAATTGCCGGATCGGACAAATGATGGTGGCTTTGAATTAATGAATTCATCGAGGTTTTTTTCGACCTCTTTAACTGACTTGAATCGAGAATCAGGTAATGTTGTAAGGCTCGAAATAGATGATAATCTGAAGCGGCTAAGTCTGGAGAACACGCATGAAGAAGAATTTCTCAGCCTAAATCGGAGATGATTTCCAAACTGTTTTTTGTTGTATGGGGCCGAGCATTATCCTGCAACAGTATCACCTTTCTTCTTCCAATGTCAGTAAATGGCCTTTTTTTCTTCAAGAGCGTCATTTACATAATTAATTGCTGTTGATAAAGCCCAGCAGTCACGGTCTGACCTTGTCGGAGCAACTCGTAGTGGATCACACCTTTCTGATCCCACCAAATGCATAGCAACACCTTTTTTGTATAGATGTTCGGTTTTACAATGCTTATTGACGGCTCACCTAGATGGACCTATAATTTTCGCCTCTTAGGATTATCGTATAATATCCAGTTTTCATCGCAAATAATTTGTGCAAAAAGTTCTTTTTCTTGAATCTAGAAAGCAAGGAAAGAGCAGTATTGTGACGTCTGCTTTTATTTTCGGGAGTGAGCTTATGAGAGACCCATCGACATTCCTTGCGAATCCTTCCCAGCTGTTTTAGGCGATAGGAAACGTCTTGCTGTGTTATTCCAAGCGCATTTGCAAGTTACGATTTGCAAGAATTCTCGTCCAAAATGTTCTCCAATTCCTCGTTTTCCACTTTTTTTGGTTGACCAGAGTTCACGATCCTCAAAGTCGAAATTTCCCTTTCGAAACTGTTGGAACCATTTTACACGTGCAATACAGCACTCTCTCAAAGCCGAAGAAATCATTGTTTTCGCCTCAGTAGCGATTTTTTTTAAGTTGAAACGCGAAAAGAAGAACAGTGCCTTAAATGTTACTTTTCGAACGACATCGTGTTTATTGTTGATATTTCAGGAAGTATCAAGTATTGTATCTCATTTTAAAGCTAAAAGATGGTACTTCAAAATTACTATAAAGAGGGCGGAGAAAGTTCAACTTAAATGATTCTGAGGTCACTGAAAGGTAAGAGCCGAGAATTAATTTGCACACCTAACAGATATTCTGCTTTTAGCGTTATCCAAGATAGTTATTCGATATTTTATTATTAAATTATGATATTTTATTATTCACGATATTTTATTATTAAATTACATAAAATTGATATCGTGTTTTATATTTTTATTATTTTTTGAAGCGCTTTACCTGAATGGAACATCGACCAAAATTTAACAGACAAACAATATGAAGCGAGTGTTAGACCGATATGAATAAATCAAATTTTTTTAATAAGAAGAACTATATTCGCTGCGATATTCAGAAACGAAATGTATATAAATTTACACAAAAAATATATTTAAGCACTAAGGTCTGCTTTAATCGAGAATATAAGGTTTTTATTTAAAATTTTGATTTAACAAACAAGCTTTTAAAACGAATTTTCTAAGCTTTAAAAAGGTTTTTAAAAAAAATTGATATATTGATTTTTGCAAAGGTATCGAATTTTTTGTGTAAAAATTCATTTTTTAAATTGTTCAAATGTTAACGACCTTATACATGCTTTAAACTTATCCTTAAAAATTTTTCACTTCATATGGATCGTTTTTAGCCCATTATATATTTATTATTTATTAATTACCATATCAATTTTAAATTAAGCGATCGAAAGATATCACATAATATTTTTTATAGATATTTTATATTATCACGTCCACCGCTCCCAAATGAGACGTTCTTCGCAACATCACACATTCGTGCGTTCGTGCGAAGATATTATGTCGCTCTTGGAAAGAAAGGAACACTTTATTAAAAAAATTTGCAAGACTTATTCGATAAAAAAATACAAGCGCATCTATGTCAACAGCTTACTCAAATTCGAATCTGTCAAAACGATCGATCAATTTTTTTCTAAATATCATGAATCGATCTATGGTGAAATCAGTCTGTTCTTTGACTGAACTTTTGCACCAGTTCATCTTTTTTGCTTTTCTCTCCAGCAGAAAAGAAGAGAAAGAAAGATAAACTGATGCAAAAGTTCAGCCAAAAAAAAAACAGGCCTATGAATCGATCGATTCACCATGGATCGATCTATCTAGAGACGCATTCAGATTCCCATTCGAGGATGCTCCAAGTATCATGTTATTCTTTTAGAAGCTGCGCACAATCAAGGAATAGAAACAAAGAATAGGAACAAGAACAGAGAATAAGAATACATGTGTGCAGAGAATAAGAATATATGTATGTAATAGTTAGATATGTGTATATAGAATTTACATACATGTTAAAAATAATTACTATGTAATAAAAATGTAATGAATTTTCAAGGTATTTTCAAGCTATTTTGGAGTGAGCGCAGAAAGAATTGCGCAAAAATTGAATAATCTTAATAATAATGAGAAATAATCACTATATAATAATTAAAATCTTTTTCAAAAGTACTCATAATGTTATTACCACTCGGCTGTATTCATGTGCAATGGCAATATTCGGCTGCAATCCGTTTTAATTGCATTCGATTTACAGAAAAGTTCCTCTTTGCGACCTAAAAACAGAGTCATATTCATTAAGTGAATGCACGTTTACATCACTCAAAATAATCATGAGTTAAAAATGGGCTGAAAACGGTGAAAAATTTTTATAATATACAAAAATGATTTAAATTTTAGTAAAAAATCAGATGTGTTGCAGAAAATCTAGCTAGCCGAATCATCGAATTTGGATCTTAAATACCGTACAATTAATAACAATGACTTCGTAAAAAATAATCATAAATTCATCAAAAAAAATTTTTTCTACTTCAGGTATTTAAGGTAAAATAGTATATATTTATTTATGCGCTGATATTGAAAATTCTACTGACACGTGTTCGAGATAAATTATAAAAAGCAAATAAAATGTATTTTTTTAATAAAAATTATTGACAGTCGAAAAAGTTTTTAAAAACTTTGGCAAAAATTTACGCGACCACATTATAAAAAACGTTCTTTTCTGATGCATTTTTTCGTAAAAGTTTTTAGTTTTGAAGTAAATTTTTGCACAAGAAATTCGATCTGCGAAAAATAATCATAACAACTTTTTCCAAAAAGTGTTTTAAAGTTTAGAGAGTTCATGATAATACTTGTTTGTTAAATATTGTCTGATGATATTCAGGTAGTAAAAATAGTAAAAGGTCAGTTTTTAATTTTATGTAATTTAGGAAAAAAACATCACAGAGAAAACTAACTCACTGTCAATACTAGTTTGAAGTTCTATTCTTCCTTTTTAAAATTCATTTTTAAAAATTTCTCTACGATTTTTCTCACTGAGATACTTGAGTTTTTGTGAAATGCAAGAAAATCGCAATCCTGATTTTATGAACGGTAATGTGTTGTTATGTGAACGTACTCTAAGACCTATTTAAGTTGCGATATTTTTTTGACTGATCAATTAGTAAAATTCTTTCTTCTGTTTGATCAATCAAATGCTTCGAAGTATTCGTAGCAACAACTCGACCGCACCCTTAAGTAAAAAGTTATGTGCGCCCTCACGAGAGACGCTAATCAGATTAGAATGATAAATAGAAGCTCTGGCGCGCACGCACACACACACATGCGTGCGCGCGCTTTCTGGCTACGGCACGATAGCAATCGAGGTGTTTTTATTCTGCAAATTCTTTTGCTTGATCACAGGACATATCACTATATGTATATTGCAGTAATAATTAAGAGATAATCAAGATAATAATTTAGAACAAAATTATTCATTTGCAGCTCCGAGAGGTACACCGCAATTTGAGGAAGAGCAGTTTTTATCCAAAGTATTTTTGTGGTTAGCAGTGATATTCATCTGCTGGCTGTTGATGGCATAACATTATTTCTAAATCACACACATACCAGTCTGCCCAATAATTTGTAATTTTTGTTTAATGATATCCTGTCGATTTATGATGATCGCAACATTACATCGGTTTTCATTATGTGATTTTTATAAAGCCTCTTTGAAAAAAAGAAATGAGAATACAAATTTACTTCCGCGTATTTAAAAAAAGAAATTGTGCAATTCTAAAAAAATTCATTTTTCTCACTTTTACTTTCGAAAAGAAGCAAAAAGTATATTGAACTATTTTTTGTCCATGTATAACGTTTTACACGATTTCGTTGGCATTTACATACTTCGAACAGGATTAAGCTCCAGACAAAATGCGAGGGAATAGCGATAGCGATAGGAATAACATTTTAACTCTTGAGAAATTGAATACACCGAAATACAATCTCTGATGAGTTGAAATCGTGTTATTCCTATCGCTATCTCCATTTCTTCACATTGTACTTTCTTTCTATTTGGATAATTCTGATATTTTAATATTAATCTTTTTTATGTATATATTATATATAAATATATTATATTCAGAAGAAAGACGTAATAAGCATAAGGAATAACGTATAATCTCTTATTCGATATATTAAAAGTATAAAAATGTATGATTTAAGTGAAAACACAGAGGAAAATATTATGTATTCATTAAGACACGCGGTTTTGTTGAGAAACTGCAAATTTGAACAGTGTATATAATAATTAAATAAATATATGTATGTATGTATAGTGTATATAATTTTGAATTGAAATTAAAATTAATGGGTGTATGCATTTAAACAATATTATGGTTACATATTAATGTATACATATACAGATATGTATATCGTATATTCGCGTAATTAATACTTACTGAAATATTAAAATATAACATCTCATAAAAAAATAGATTCTCACGAAAATCAGCAGTAATTAATTTATTATCTTAGCATTGAGACTACCGTGTCTTCAGATTCATGGTTCTTAGTTTCTTAGTATATTCCCCGGATTTGATTTTCCGAACCTATTTTTGAGGGGTCACAATACCATGCATATCAATTAGATTCGTAGTTCTTTCATTTTTCGATGAATCAACTCAATTTCATTCTTTTGAAATTCTCTTATTATTCAAGAACATATTAGATGATACTTAATCAAAATATTGTTATTTTATATTCTGAGATATAGTTCAGTAATCATATTTTAATTAGAAATCAATTAAAATTATATTCAGTTGAGAAGCGAAATGATTATTTATATAAAATCTGACTCGAAATACAAAATAATTAAAACAGTGCTTGCTTAAAAATAATCTTTTTTATGCCTCAATGACAATTAACATGTATTAGTAACGTATCAAATATGGACCAAGTTAATTATTAAAAAGGGTATTCCTTTCAAATTAATTATTAAAAAAGACATTCCTTTTTAATAATTTAAATTAATTATTTAAAAGGACATTCCTTTTTTTCCAAAAAAAAAGAAAAATTTTATCACCTTCGAGAACAATTTTTAAAAAAATGTATAATAGAATCAGGAACTCAGACTGAACGAAAAAAAAAATCAGGATTATGGAACGGAATCAGAAAATCGTTCCATAATCCTGGGTTTTTTTTTGAGTTAATAGAGTTTTTTAATTTTTAATAAAGTTTATAATTATACATAAAAATTATAATACCAAAATTATTTAATAATCAAATCAATATTATTTTCGATTCTTTCTCCCGTTTTTAATTTATATATAGGTCTGTTCTTTATAGCTAAATTGATTTTCGTTGGCTCAGAGTATGTTTCTTCTTCTACACGGGAAATTCTGAACTAGTGCAACCAATAGTATATAGGTATGTATATGAAAAACTCCCTCACCGTTATCTCGCTTTTCCTCTCCCCCTCTCTCTTTCTCTCATATATAAGAGAAGCTATTTTATGCAAATATTATTTTCTAAAGAACGTATTCAAGAATATTCACCACAGATTTTATTCTCAACAAGTCCACTAATGCTCTTCTTATAACATACAATATATTATTTTAACATTATTATTTTAATACATATATTTTAACATATTACATAAGTACTTATATAAATATATGACATAACTATATGACATAATTAGTGTAGATAATTTTTTGATAAAATAGAGCAGGCGTGTCCAATTTGAGCTCCGGAGCCAAAACGTAAATCAACACAAAAAAGTTCAAGATAAGATTTCATGGACTATTGACTATAAGATGCGTATCAATACTTTATAGTCTCCGAAATTACTTATATTTACTTTTTGCGTCAATGAATTTGCGTTCCAGAAGTCAAATTGGACAGGCCTAAAATAGAGAATAAGCATATTTTTCTCTTTTTTTCTTTCATTAATATTGAAAATAAAATAAGATAGTCGTATAATTCATTATATTTTTTGTATTTTGATGAATATTTTCGCATATCAAGATTAAGAATCCGTTACTCTTGAATTTTTATCAATTACTTTTGAATGAATAATACACAATAAGAAATATATTGAACACGATCAGAATGATTCGATATCTGAAATAGATATACTCATATAATCGCACGATGTGACAGGAAAGTTTATAGCGGCAGTATATCATGCACTTTTCTAATCCTTTCATTAATAGGAATCATTGAGTATTTTCATCTATCTTCGTTCATATGAAAAAAACTACTTACAGAGAACAAAATATATAATAGATATCTAGTGAATATCCACATGTCCATATGGATAACTACTAGTAGACATCTAAATAGATATATATAATAGCATGTAGAATGTGTGCTAGAGGTATAAAAAAATGTTTATGTAAATATCCATTGGATATAACGTAGATACTTAAAATTAGATATTTTACGGATATTCAAGATATCAAATGGGATATGTAGATCTATATCTAATGGCTTGATTAGGAACTCATGGATATCCCTAGTACCCATAGAGGATATCTAACATATTATGTTCTGTGTAGGTAAGTATTGAGTCATCTAAAAAATATCCGCGGTTTTTTGTCACTAGATGTGTTGACCATCAACACTATCTAGTGACAAAAAACCGCGGATACTTTTTAGATGACCCAATATATAATAGTTTTCAATCTGTTAATAAAAATTTAATCTAAATTTAATTTAAATTTATTTATATCTAGAATTTGTGTGTATGAATATTGTACCATATAATTCAGAATCATCCAATCTTCAATTTTAATTCATAAATTTTCTACTCGTTAATGTGTATGATAATTTTGAACATTTGATGCTATGTTGGATGCGTTCTGTTTACACGCTGTAGGCATCAGTTCATGCTTGTTATCTACCAAACATTAAACAAGAACAAATGAAGCTTATAAGCGTTGTAAGCCCAAAACGGAACGTACTCTTAATTTACAGATAATATATTATCATGCGATAAAATCATTCTCTTGAATTCTATATACAAAGAAAGAGAATAGTACTCTAATATAGAGCTAAGCTATATTTGTACATTTCGGCCGATTTTCAATTTGGTTGAATGCCAAATCGGCATTTAGACTGCGTGCTGATTAATGAGATAAGAGGCGAGAGCCAAGCTGAAAATCTGTCGAAATGTGCAGTCATCGCCCAGTTCTGCTCTAGTAACTAGAATATTGCACTACATATAGTTTCACAAAAAAGGTGAACATAAAAAGATTCTAACAATATCTGTGCCATTTTAAAAGCCCTTATTTCTGTAAATATTCATAGTACAGAAATCGCGATATATACTGGGTGTTCTGAAATTCGCGAATCAAAATATCACAAGTGTTCAAAAAATTAAGTAAAAAGTTGATATTTTTATTTAAAGCAATAGTTTTTTGCAAAGATATAAGGATTTAAAATTTAAACACTTTATTTATATATTTAAACTTTAAATATAGCCACTTATAGATTATATTTTGACAATCATCTGTCTATGAATCGCACGTACGTAGTATTAATACGCGCATATTTCAACGTATAAACAGTCCGTAATTGATTTTATTTGAATTATAATTATTTCACAAACTATTGTTTAAAATAAAAATTTACAAATAATCTTTTTTAATTTTTTGAAGACTTTCTCGCTGTAGTATTTAGCGAATTTATAATTCGCGAATTTTGGAACATTCTGTATACTTGCAAATAATAATTCCTACTATTTTGTGCAATTATGGTTATTTTGGCATTAATGTCCTAAACATTATCGTTTACAACAGGAGGATATTAGTAATTATGAAAGAAGACAGACAATACTTTATGAAAAAATAGTGGCGAATTTATTTAAATATCACGAGGGTCGTGTGGATCCGGGAGTTTCTGCCAGTTCGGTTCAACACCCCAAATCTCGCGCGCGTACTCCGCTATTGTACGATCTGATGAGAATTTTCCCGACGATGCTATGTTATGGATAGCCATTTCTACCCACTTGTTCTCGTCCTGAAACAATTAACAAGTGACTGTTGTATCATGGAGATCTTGAAGAAATTAAAATTTCAAGTTAAAATTGAATTAAAATTAAAATTTTTTTTTAATAAGAATTTTTTTTAATAAGAAGGTAGGAATGGTGGTGAAATTGACCGATCGAAAATAATCGGAGCGCAGTCATATATCTGAGATAAAAATCTATTTTAAATACATGTGCTTATATTAGTCTAACATCTAACTTTGATGTAATTGGCGTTTCTTGTATCTTAATTTATATTTTCTAGTCAGTCTTTTTTATAAAAAGCTTATAGAAAAGGTAGTTATAATAGATTAAGTACCTGATAAACTTTGCTAACATGATCCTGCATGTTTATATAGCTTTCATAATCAGCCAAGAGTAAGAATCTATCCCACTTAAGCAATACATCAGCGATATCTCGGAATTCATCAGGATTATTTGGGCTGAAAAATCCTCCTTGGATTTGATCGATACACTGTTTAGCTTCCGGTAATTTGTTATAATAATCGTATGCATTATAGCCTTTTCTTTGTAGAGTCTCTACTTCCACCACTGTCATACCAAAAATGAAGATGTTTTCATTACCCATCTCTTCCGCCATTTCTACATTTGCTCCATCTAAAGTACCAATTGTTAATGCACCGTTCAGCTAAAAATAAAGTAGAGCTCCATTATCTGAATCAAATTTTATAATTCACAATTTTTAAAAAATGACTGCAATCATACAAACATGTTAATACTTATTAAATAAATTAGATAAGATAAGATCATAAGAAATAATTAAGATTATTCGAGGTTTCATGTTTGTCAAATGAGTTTATTATCGAAAATATCTCGCCAGACATGTAAACAAATGCGTAATCTGAAATTTCATTTCGTTGCCAAGTATTACTGACCATAAATTTCATATTGCCTGTGCCAGACGCCTCGGTGCCAGCAGTCGAAATTTGCTCGCTCAAATCAGCGGCTGGTATGATCTTTTCGGCCAAAGTCACGCGATAATTTTCAAGAAAGATTAACTTGAGCTTATCGCCGACGATCGGATCATTATTGATAACATTAGCAACACTGCAGATGAGTTTAATGATCTTCTTCGCCAGATGATAACCTGGCGCTGCCTTACCACCTATCATCACAGTTCTCGGAACAAAATGAGCAGACGGATCTTTTTTTATTCGATTGTATAAAGTGATAACGTGTAAACAATTCAATAATTGTCGTTTATACTCGTGTATACGCTTCACCTGTTAACAAAATAATTCGATCTTATATCATTTTATCTCAAATCTTGTTGAATTTTTTTTCATGCAGT